TCGCACTGTGAAAGCCTGGCACAACAAAAGGAGACAGTATATTTTGGAGCTAAACTATTTATTTGACCTTTCCCAATTAAAATTCATAACACTTTCCACTCTAAATGACACTAATAGAATATAAAAGGGTATAAAGTCCCAATTAATACCAGGGCTTTAATTATGACTGGAGGTCACAGAGAACCTTGGAAGAGTATCAAACATTCGATGGCAATAATTTGTTTTTCCATTAGCTTTGCCTTTAGTTTAAAAAAGATAAATTGTGCTCTGTCAACAATTTGTATTTACTATTAAGTTCCAACAAAACGAAGATTCCTTACTTTTCTACCCCAGCTCCTCCAGTACACCTCGCCACAAGGGACAACAGGATCTTGTTAGTTGCATTTACATAGCATTTTTCTTCACCTACCTGCCCCACTTGCAAAATCTTACTCAATACAGCATGTCATAATTTTAATGCTATGCAAACGCCCTGCTTATCGGCCTTCCCAACTCCTCCCTCCACCGGCTGCAGATAATCCAGAACTCGGCAGCCCGTGTCCTCTCCCGCACCAAACTCTGTGACCCCACCTCCCCCACTGTCACCCGATTCCATTGGCTCCCTATCCTTCAGAGGATTCAGTTCAAGATCCTGGTCCTCACATACAAAGCCTTCCATGGCCTCGCCCCACCCTATCTCTGTGACCTCCTAACCCCCTACCAACCCGCCCGCTCCCTCCCTTCAGCCGGCTCAGGCCTGCTCCACGTCCCCCGATCCACCCCCCCACCATTAGCGGGAGAGCCTTCAGCCACTCTGCCCCCAACCTCTGGAATTCCATCCCCCAGTCACTCCGCCTCACCCCCTCCTTAGCCTCGTTCAAGTCCCGCCTCAAAACCCTCCTCTTCGACCATGCCATTGGTCACCCCTTTCCCCTCCCTTCTCCCCCCTGACCCCAGCTCTGGTCTGAAATGCTGTACACTGTCCAGCGCCTTGGGACGTCCTCCCGACATGAAAGGTGCTATACAAATGTAATCTTGTTGTTGTTGGTTAGTGATTCCTGGAACAGTCTACATTTATTATGTACTAACATGGTTTAAATTTTCATAACCAACTTTAAGGAAAACAGCAGGATAGGACTAAATAATGATGTTTCCAAAATAAAATCAGAATGGCCAAAAAAAACATTTTGGGCACTGCCATACATGATTCCTAACCTAACCCTAACCCAACAAGGCATCTTTACAACGGTCTTAGATGGAATGCAAAATGATCTGGTTAGGGTTACAAATGTTTTGCCTACTATCAGTATGATGCACACTCGAAAATGTGTCCAAAAGTCGCTTGCGAATATTGAACAGAAAACCATTTAAGTTAGTTAACAGCTTGTTCAAGGTTCCCACTGAGTAATCTGCAGACGATGTATTGTTCAGGACCTAAATCTAAAAGTGGGCTATTAACCCAGGTCAGACCTGACATGAAAGGAACTTAAGAATCAAATACCTTAGATTCTGCCAGAGAAATAGCTCATTTTTTTAATGCATAATAGAAATATTGGATTCTCTTGAAATGTATTGTAAAACAATAACAATAATACTTGCATTTGATAGAGTGCCTCATCACGTCATTGAGAAGTCTCAAAGCGCTTCACAAAACATATAGTAAACTGGATTGACTGTGTATTTTGTGGGTGAAATCAAGTCAAATTAAGGATTTCATGGAAACTGCCAATGCAAGCTCAACATAACCTGGAGTATTTGTTTGTGCTTGCTGCCTTGGGGATGGAGGTATGCTAACAATATTGTTGGAAAGGAAGTGAAGTCTCAGCTTTCCTTTCATTACAGTACATCACAGCTATGATATTATTATCACATATTTCATGTTAAAAAAATAAACGTACATCACTCCTTTTTTTTTGCAGGAAATGTTGTTGCCATTTGCTTTGAATGTTGCGGGTCAGAGCATTGAATTAGCAATCAGCAATTAGATCCCTGGTTTAGTTATGTGAGGACATTGTAGTTTGTCTCATAATAAATTTGTAACGTGTTTTTGGGAGCTAACCATTACATTTTAGTCAGGAATTTGAGTCCACTCCTTATGCACATCCTTTGTATTTCAATTGCACTTCAACAATAGGCAAAACTATGATGCATTTCTGAGGGCACCCAGGCCAGCAGCTTTAAGCACTTGAGACATCAAAGTAACCTGAATCGGTAAACTTTCCCTTAAAATGTGACTGGATCCTCCTATTTCAGAGAGGTCGCCAAATGAAAGCCAACCTCCGTCCCAGATAACTGCTTTCCAACCGCTCCCAGCTTTTCACTCCGTTCACACGTTGCATAAAATATTTCTCAGGCAACACATGATCATTTGGGAGAAATTCCTCGTTAGTCCTATTTTCTAATTTATTCAATGATTGACTTTCCCCAGACTGGTTACTTTAAATATCGGGCTTGAAATCGCACTCAAGTCAAAAAGAACGCTGAAAAAGTGTACTACCAGGTTCAACCTCAGTAAGTGGCACACAGGTGCTGGCAATCGCTGGACTAAGTAGGTTCATTGGAAAGTTATAACTCAAGAAAAGTTTCATGTTGGACAGGCAGTCAAACAGAATAGCAACAGAGCAAAATCAAGAGTCGAGATGGAGAGGAAGAATTGAGCATTGTTAAAGTACAATGCAAACCCTCAATTGTCCAGCGCCTTGAGACGTCCTCTCGTCGTAAAAGGCACTATATAAATGCAATTTCTCCTTGTTTTTACATGTGTATCTGGTTAACTTCCATGAAGAAGAAATAAAAACGGGAAAAATTATGATAGTGCTTGGACACAAAAACGGTAAAATGTATTGCTCAAGCCACACTCACATATTTTATAACCTGATAATGCAAAACTGATAATGGAGCTCTGCATCAGTGTGAACAAGCTTTAAGCACCAGATATGTGAAAATTAACCTTTGCACCGCGACAAACTATACATTTCACAGCATCGTTTTTGTTATTTCTCCTCTTGCTTTTCATTGTATTACCTGCAACATTCTCCAGCCCCCTCCGTTACCTATAAACATTCCTCCAATTGTATAGTTCTGAAGATTCTGATAGTAAACAGATCACTTAACGGATACCTCAAACAACAGAATCTTAAGTTTATGTAAAAATCTGTGCATTTTTTGGAGAATTACTGATTATTTTAAGCTGCACAAGTGCCATCCCTTCATGAATCTACCACAAATAGTCAAGAAAAGCATTTCCCAAGCTAATACCTAAGCGAATAAGACATTAATTGCTATGAAATTCCCACCCTAAGTATACCAAGTCAAAGAAAATGTATTCCGCTGGGAAAGTCTTCTGCCCTACCCCATAAACGAATGTCTTTGATTGTCTTCTTCAGTCTTTGAATAATGCTGCCCCATTTCCCAGAATTGGACCAATTATCCAACGAGACAACAGTCTCTTCATACTTGGTTTTCTTCAGGCACACTATTTTCCCTTCCTAGGCTATATAAGTAAAACTCACATAAGTGGTATCAGTCAGGACCATAACATTTAATATGATTTACACGAAGTGCGAGTTCCAGGCAAACTGTATGTCATACAAAATCCGATTTAATCAATAATTTACACTGCGAATGCGTAATTCAATGCAGCCAACTAAGTGCGCTTGCAGTGACGAGTCAAGATTACATTTCCTCCGATTCAATGTGTCTTGATCCATCGCCTCATACGCACTTACCGGCAAGCATTAGCATTGCAGTGAATCGCGGAAAGTTCCTCTATGCATGCGCCGACGGATCAGGACATTTCCCGCGATTCAATGCAGTTGCCCCAGTCGGTAAGTGCACTTGTCAAGGCAACATTTTCCATTTACTGTACAGTTTTATCGCATTATTCATAGTGCTAACAATTTACATAATAATTGTACATGAAATTGACAGTACAGTACACTATGCCAGGCAGACCAAAAACAGATAATAATTTCCCCCAAAAACTAAATGTACTTTTTTTAAAGCAATACATTTCTGCTGAATGGCCTCTCTGATACTATTGTCTTAAGTTTCAATAGCCCCTTGTGGTAAACAGCAACAACAAAATTACATTTGTATAGCATCCTTCACGTCGGGAGGACATCCCAAACCATTCAATTGTTCTAATATTCCCTGTATGGAAACGTTTGTTCTAACATTTCCTCGAGGCTCCTCAGTTCGTCTGAGTTAATACCTAGTTTATGCTCCGCTTGTCACCAATTTACTAACCATGAAGAAAACAAAAATCACTGTTCGCTCAAAACATTTGAAAATATCTCTATAAGATCACCTCTTAATCTGTAATGTTCCAGTAATATCAAACCCAATTTGTAATGTCTAGTCTTCACACTATAACCCAGTAGCTCAGTGGTTAGAGCACTCGCCTCGCAAGCGAGAGGACCTGGGTTGGATTCCCAGGTGGGGTGAAACATTGCGCAAGTTTCCTTGCTCCACATGACTGTTTACCAGCAGTAAGTAGGATTGTAAGTCAGTTAGTGGATCGCTTTTATGGGGGTAATAATCCCTTCAAAAAAATAAAGTAATAATTTGGTCACTCAATCCGTGACTGTTTGTGGGACACTGCTGTGCAATCAGCTGCCACGTATCGCCCACAAACATAGTTAATTCACTTTACAGTATATTCTGTGAAGCGCTTTGAGACGTCTTGAAGACGTGATAAGGCGCTATATCAAATGCAAGGTTGATTATTATTATTATCCTTGGCATCATCCAAGTTAACCTGTGCTTAATTTTCTGCTGGGCTCAGATGTCCTTTCTGTAATCCTTAATTTGATGCAATATCTTTTGCGTCAAGAGAATATCTCAGTGCTGCACAGGATTCACAGAACAATAACTGTGTCATTTGTTCACAAACTGAGGTGTCAATTTACGCACGTCAATTTTTACCAGAAAATTGTGATTGCCACAAGCCGTACTCTGTCTATGACCAAACCAATGCACAAAAGTAATTTTGCTTTATATACTTCACCCTGCATGCTCACCTTCCCGCTCCTGCTCCAAACACATGGTCAGTTCTTGGATGGTGGCTTTGTCCACAAAACATTGCACCCTCAGTTGATCCACCTCTTCTCCAAGGTTGACACTGCAAGGTGAGACACAGGAAAGCATTTATTATTGCCGTTAAAACAAGCATCTATGTATAACAGTTCACCTGGGAAGTTCTACTTGTAACATGAAATAAAAGCAATGTAACCTGAAATAAGATCCAAAAGAGGGTGTTAAAAAGGAGATTAGCTAAATGGTTGGTAATATCAATATCAGGTCCCAATAGTACAAAGAGCTAGAAGTGATAAGGAGTTCCCCAATATAACAACAAAATTACATTTGTATAGTGCCTTTCGTGTCAGGAGGATGTCCCAAGGCGCTGGATAGTCAGTGTTTCGCATTTGAGCTGGGGGTGATCGAAAGCATAGTCAAAAAGGAGAGTCTTGGGATGGGTCTTGAAGGAGGCAAGGGAGGAGGTGAGGCGGAGGGCCTGCAGGATGGAGTTCCAGTGGGTAGGGGCAGAGTGGCAGAAGGCCCACCCGCCAATGGTGGAAGTGAGCGCAGGGAGTGGGCAGGATAGTAGTGGGTTAAGAGGTTGCAGAGGGAGGTAGGGGGGAGTAAGGCCATGGAAGGCTTTGAAGGTGAGGTCCAGGACCTTGAATTGTATCCTCTGAGTGATGGAAAACCAGTGGAGTCGGGCGAGGATGGGGGTGATAGAGTCACAGAGCCTAACAAATAACACAGTCACCAAATTGTACTGTAAATCATGAAGCCTGGTGCGGGAAAGGACACGGGCTGCAGAGTTCTGGATGATCTGCAGCCTATGGAGGGAGGAGTTGGGGAGGCCAACAAGCAGGGAGTTTGCATAGTCAAGCCTCGATGTTATCGATGCATGTATGAGGGTTTCGGCCGTCTGCAGTGTGAGTCAACAGCGGAGCCGGGCGATGTTACGGAGGTGGGGGAAGGCAGTGCGGGTCATGGCATGGATGTGGGGTAGAAACAATAGTTGAGGGTCAAACAAGATGCCAAGGTTCCAGACTGGCTTAGTAAGGTGGAGAAAACATCCATGGATGGTGATGCTGTCAGTGCCTGAGGTGAAGAGGTGTTCCGGGAGCCAATCAGGAGAGCCTCGGTCTTGTTGATGTTCAACTGTAAAAAGTTAGCTCTCATCCAGTACTTGATGTCTGACAGACATTCTGTCAGGACAGCATTGGTCCTGGAGTCAATGGTGGAGGCAGAGAGGTACAGTTGGGTGTCATCCACATACATGTGGAAGGTGACCCCATGTCTGCAGATGATTTTGCCAAGTGGGAGCATATAGATGTTGAAGAGGAGGGGACCAAGGACAGAGTCCTGAGGAACACCACACGGGACAGTGCAGACGCTAGAGGAGAAACCGTTTGTGGAGATGGAAGTGGAGGCGTTGTGAGAGGTACGATCTGAACCATTCAAGGACAGAACCGTGAAGGTTGAGGTGTGGAGCTGTACATTGGATAAGTTTGCATCAGTGACTGCCAACTCTGATGACCTTCATAAGCAAACACACTGCAAAGAGAAAAATTAATACCAAATATAAAGTCTATTTCTTCTTTAAAAATGATATAATGATCCAAACATCCATAGAGATACAACTGTAGAAGTCACTCTTGCTTATCTACAACATTAAATTGAGAACATATTATACTGGTGTCAGCCTGGCTCAGTTGGTAGTACTCTTTCACTTTTGAATCAGAAGGTTATGGGTTCAAGAGTTTATGGGACTTTGGGTTCACAGTCCAGGCTGACACTTCCATGCAGTGTTGGGGAACACCGCTGATGCTCACTAGGATCCTTAGGATGGCACATTAAACCGAGCTCCTATCCGTCTGTTCAGACTTATCCAATGTACAGCTCCACACCTCAACCTTCACGGTTCTGTCCTTGAATGGCATCATTCGAAAAGAGAATTTCTCCTTGTGTCCTAGCCAACAATCCCCCAGATAAAATTAGTCTCTCACTTCATGGCTGTGTGCCGATTAGCTGCCATAATCACCATATTGAATCTTGTTCAGCACTTTGAGATACAATGGATAAACCTGCATCAGTGACTGTCAACTCTGATGACCTTCATATCCAACTACACTGCAAAGAGAAAAATCTTTTTCTCTTATTGTACCGATACCAAATACTGAATATATGATGACTTTTATCCCCCATTTTAATTTGCACATGGTATTGTTTAATAGTATTCCCCGAGAAAATAATCCTCTAAATGAGGTTTACATTGATTTACATGACCTAAAATATAAATAGTTTGGTTTTAAACTAATAGAGTAAAACTTTATTTGTAAAATGATTCGTAAATAGTTAAAATAGTTGGTCAGCGACACACCCAGGATTCATTATTTAAATCACAATCAAAACAACAAAATTACATTTATAGAGCGCCTTTCACGTCGGGAGAACGTCCCAAAGCGCTGAACAGTTAGGTGTTGGGGCCCGAGCATGGGGGAGGGGTGGTGTAGGGGTGAGGGAAGGCAGAGAGGTGGGAGGGAGACCAAAGGCACGGTCGAAGAGAAGGGTCTTGAGACCAGCCTTGAAGGAGGCAAGGGAGGAAGTGAGGCGAAGGGACCATGGGATGGAGTTCCAGAGTGTGGGGGCAAAGAGGCTGAAAGCCCGGCCACCGATGGTAGGGCGGGAAACATGGAGTAGGCTGAGCCCGCTGAACAGAGAGAGCAGGCAGGTTGGTAGAGAGTCAGCAGGTCAGAGAGGTAGGAGGGGGCAAGGCCATGGATGACCTTAAAGGTGAGGACGAGGATCTTGAACTTGATCCTCTTGGAGATGGGGAGTCAGCGGAGTCGGGCGAGGGCGGGAGTGATGGGGTCACGGAGCCTGGTGCGTGAGAGTACACGAGCTGCAGAGTTTTGGATGATCTGCAGCTTGTGAGGGGAAGAGTTGGGAAGGCCGATGAGGAGAGAGTTCCCATAATCGAGCCTTGATGTGACGAATGCGTCAGTGAGGGTTTTGGCAGCCTGAGGGGTGAAGTAGTGGCGGAGGTAGTGGTAGGCAGTGCCGGTCATGGTGCGGATGTGGGGGAGAAAGGATAGTTCAGGGTCAAACAAGACACCCAGGATCCTGACTGGCTTAGTGAGGTTGAATGTATAGCTGTGGAGGCTGATGCTGCCAGCGCCTGAGGTGCAGAGGCACTGGCTCGAGCCAATCAGGAGGGCCTCAGTCTTGCTGATGTTGAGTTGGAGAAAGTTGGCTCTCATCCAGGACTTGATGTCGGACAGGCCAGGACGCCAGTAGTCCTGGAGGTCGGGGTGGAGGCAGAGAGGTAGAGTTTGGTGTCATCCGCATACATGTGGAAATTTACCCCATATCTGCGGATGATGTCACCAAGGGGGAGCATGTAGAGGGTGAAGAGGAGGGACCGAGGACAGAGTCCTGAGGAACACCGCACGAGACGGTGCATGGGCTGGAGGAGAAGCCGATTGCCGCGACAAAGTGGAGGCTTTGTGAAAAGTAGGACCTGAACCAGTCAAGGACAGAACCTTGAAGGTTGAGGTATTACAATGTAATAGGTCAAAATATATATTGAATAGAAATGGATTACGAGTTAGGCAGGTCAATGATATAAATCAAGAAAGCCACTGACCTGATGACTCGGAAGTCTGACTTTATCGTATGGGAACTGGCAAAACTAAGGGAGTGAACCAGCCGGTGGTAATCATGTGCTGTAAAGCTGCCTAAATGCTCATTATTGTGCATTTGAGATATTAAGGAACTCAAACACTTTAAAATGGGCTTCCACTGTAGATATCTAAGTGGATGATTTTTGTGGAAGACTATAGGACCAAAAGGTTCTCATTTCAAATCCCAAAGACTTTGAGAATGATAAAATAAGCAGAGGCAAGGTAAACCTACATTAAGTCCCTGGAATGCAAAATGAATGTTTCAGTCCTGGCTGATACCAAATCAAATTCAGGCAATTATTCTGCACTTTGAAGTTCAGATTAGTTTGGATCAATTCTGATTACAAACCTTGTGTATGTATGTAGGAATATAGGGTATTTTATGAATTTCTCTATTTGAGAGAAAACTGTAAGCAGTGAATGTTGTATCAGAAACCATGTTCTATGCGAGTATTATTGCAACAGATTACTATGCACTAGTTGTGGGCGTTACGTTTAGCTATTTTAGCTCCCCCTTAAAGTGGTCAGCAGCAATTTCAATAAATTAAAGCACACCAACATAGGAAACAGCAATAAAATCTATATTTTAAACTATTCAGATTTAAAGACGAATTTAAGCGCTCACTGCTTTTTAAACAAATGCCTTACCTAGGGAAAGAAGAAATCCCAAGGGAGCAAAACTTATCCTGACCAACTCTGACCTGCCATAATGCCATTGTAACCATGGAGCAGAAAACAGATGAACTGATAAGGTCACTAGACAGCGTTTATTTCAACAGAAGGCCATTGGGAATTCACAGCAGTGGCCATATGACTTGAAGCCTCAGAAAGCAAAGTGTTCCAGATGCAAGTTGATCTAATTTCACAACTCCTATGAAGGCGTTTCATTTTCTTTTCCAAAGTACCCAGTCAAAATTACGTACAAGCAATGTGCTCAAAGAGAATTTATCCCTATGTACTCAGAAATTCTATGAGTTATTCGCATGTGAAAAGTTTTCCTCCTTTGATGCAAATATCTAGACAGAAATGAAGTGGAAGAATTTAGAGTTAAATATTCCAGGATATAATGTGTTCAGGAAGGATAGAGAAGGAAGAAAAGGAGGAGGGGTGGCAATATTAGTTAAGGATACAATTATATTCTATGAAGCTATGAATTTGTCAAGGGCTAATTCGTTAGAGAATGGCATTAAGTAGAATGTCAGATCAGTCTTTTTTTAAAAAAAGAGGGAATTCAATCAGCAACAAATTATATTTCTTTACAGAGCAAAATCCTTCAGAATATTTCAAAACACTCAGTGATAACCTCATATTTTTGGAACTTAACATACAAATCCTTTTAAGGATACACGTAAACATACATTTATCTACCGGAAATAGTAGGAGGAATAGAAGAAAAACAGTACAGCTGGAAGATGTTTCCATT